AGCACTGGAACAGGCTGCCCAGGGAGGTTGTGGAGTCTCCTTCTCTGGAGATATTCAAGACCCGCCTGGACAAGGTCCTCTACAGCCTACTGTAGGTGACCGTGCTTCGGCAGGAGGGTTGGACTAGATGACCCACAGAGGTCCCTTCCAATCCCTACCATTCTGTGATTCTGTGTGATTCTGTGAATTCGGGTATCTCTACCCTATGTTCTGGTCTCCAGGGCAGATATAATAAATGCTCTCCCCTTACCACGATGATCTGGGGTATCTCTGGATCTCAGGTCAGAGACAGGATCTAGCTTACTTCATAGTTCTATTTCCCTGTCATTTTACACATCCACATTAGAGAACACAATTTCAAAACATCATCCAGCATTTCTCGTAAGGTACTTGTTCATAAGCTGGAGCATCTTACTCTGCATGAAATCACTGTCCAAAGGTCACGTTCACTGAGCACTTTGTTACAGGTGGCGACTCAGAAGACAGGAAAAAAAACAGAATACCACTCCTCCTCCTCTGAAAGAAGTAAGTGTGCTCTCCCATCCTCAATTTAAACACGTTCTCAAAGGGGTTTGGAAAACTGTAGCTTCTCAGTACTTTCCAAACGTCTTTTTCCTTTCTCAGTAATTCTTGCTCCCCCAGTTCTTTATGTGCAAGTCGAAAGCTGCCAGTGAGAACAAATCCAATAAGTGTGTGCGCAGCATACCTGCAGAAAATCATTTTGGTTTACGTCAAAAGACAATTTAGGGTAAAAAGACCAAGTTCCTACAAACAGAAGCGCATTCAGACAGACTGCTTCAAGAGCTGGCATTAGCACGACGACACAGCTGAAGAAAGCACAAATAAAACCCTAGCCCTTGTCAGAAAATTAGTATTTTGTCTACACTGGGACAAACATGACATTTCTCCCAAAATGAGGAAGATGAGGTGGCAGACACCATAGCGTCCAGGCAGGGAGCTGCCAGGCAGGAGGGTCAAGTTCGAGCCTCTGCTCTGGTCCGGGGGGCCTTTGTGGGGTGCCAGTCGCTATTCAGCAAGGCTGCTCTGTCCTCCAGGATTCCGGCTAATCTAAACTACGTCAAAGCTGATGCAGTTTTATCAGATCAACTTTTCCAAGAAAAAGCTCCCCGGAAAAAAAAAAAAAAATCCTGCCTCTTCTGGTTAGCAAAGTAGAAGAAAGCAGATAAGGAATCAGAAAACAGAAAATACAGTAAGAAATTAGAAGAGTTAAGTCTCACCTCGCACCACCTGTGACAGGCTCACCCACCCAGGAAGCCCAGAGAAAAGCCCTGGGGTCAGAAACTCTTGGTCTTCAGGGGAAAAAAGGAAGATGTGTGTTCTATAATTCGAAGATGTGACCAGAGGGATATTTGATAATAACCCCCCGATACAGTCCAGGCAACTGAGATCTTGCTTTTTAGATTTATTGCAGGCAGAACAAAACACGATGAGACTAAACTGCAACACAAGAGATTTTGCCTAGCAAGAGGTGAAAACCTGCTGGGTTTCTTTTCATCTAGCACTGAGGAGGTCCACCACATCTCACACAACAAGTGAGCCTGAAGAGACAGATGGGGAAGGTTCTTTTTTTATGTCAATAGTGAATTAAAGTATGGCAGTCATTGTCACAAGATGCTGATGAAATCCAGCACTGAGCATAACACAAAGAAGATGAGTCACATGGAGAGATAAGATTAATCAACATTTTAACGAGGTGTTAGAGTGTTAACAGAGAGTTAACATTAACATTATAATGTTAACAGAGAGTATAACAGTGTTCAGCCTGGGGAGGAGAAGGCTGCAGGGAGACCTTAGAGCAGCTGCCAGTGCCTGGAGAGGCTGTGAGAGAGCTGGAGAAGGGCTGGGACAAGAGCATGGAGTGACAGGACAAGGGGTGATGGCTTTAGACTGAAAGAGGGGAGGTTTAGATCAGATCTAAGGAAGCAATTCTTCCCCGTGAGGGTGGTGAGGCCCTGGCCCAGGCTGCCCAGAGAAGCTGTGGCTGCCCCCTCCCTGGCAGGGGTTCAAGGCCAGGTTGGATGGAGCTCTGAGCACCCTGGGCTGGTGGAAGGGGTCCCTGCTGATGGCAGAGGGGTTGGAACTGGATGGTCTATGAAGTCCCTTCCAACCCAAACCCTTCTATGATTCTACAATTAGCACAACCCACAAAAGAAGTAAGAGGAGAGCAGAAGAGATAGTCAAGGAAAGGCATGCTCAGTCCGCCATCTTTGTTGTTAATACATCATGTGTGGTCTCTAAACATCACAGGA